GCTTCCGGTCGGTACTCCTCTCCGGCACCAGAGTACATGCCACCCTCACCCACAACGATGTTCATCTCATCGCTTGCAAGACGCTCAGCCATGTCCGATGTAAGTTCCTCACCTGGCGAATCTACTGGCGAAAATGTTGTATGTGCACGCTTTCTCGCCAATCTCTCATTAATGCAAAAATTATGCAGGCGGCACAAACAGCGAACGATGGCAGTGACTTTGGCGATGGTGATTGTTGTTGGAAATGGGCGCATCAAGATTCCCCAGCGACGGGTCAGCATGCCGAAGGCACACTCAATCGTAATGCGAACATTGGAATGGAAGTAGTTGTAAGCATCTTTGGATCCATCACCCACTGCCTTGTACGGAGTTGCCATTGTTGGTGTGTTAACATATGCATTGTCCCCAAACAGACAGATCCCTTCCTTCATGAAACCATCGCGTTCAATCTTGTGGTAGATGGGTGATGATGTCCACGCCAAATAATCCGAAGTTGATCCTGGATGCTTCACGTAGATATCAAGGAACCTCCGGTGAGCGTCGCAGGTGGCCTGCATGTTGAGACCATACTTCTTTTTTCTGCCACAAAAGAATTTCTTGGGACCACACTCTGCATTCTTACAGCTCTCTTCGCTTGGTCTTTCTGTCCAGATGAGAATCCCATCCGCGGTTCCTCCACAACACGCAAAAACTCCACGGCTCAAATCCTTGAAGTCATCAGCGATCTCCTGTTGTTTGGCGTGGTTTGAAGGGTAGGAGAAGTTCAACTGTGGACATTCGTTGACTGCATCCACCACCCTCCACACTGAACGGTACACATCAGTATGACCTATGCCATGGACACCTGCAATGTCATATGCGGCGCCTCCAGCGAACCATCTCACTGCAGCACTGACTCTGCTCGGCATTGGGATCAATCCATTCTTTGCTCCATTCTTCCAGGGCTTAAAAGGGCTTGGTTTGGATTCCATGTAAGGCTTCAGCATTCGAACGAGCCGCCAGAAGGACGATGGTTCCATCCGGTAAGCACGCCTGACATAGTGTGGGCCCAGTTCATTGAAGATGTCATTCACGTATTTCCTCTTCCTTTGCTGGTGTGGCTTTCCACCACAGCGATTGTCCTTGCTTCCCTCAAACAAAAATGGATCTGCGACAGAAAGCAGAGCGATGGCAGCTTTTGCAAAGTTCTGAAAGTCCTCCAGAGCATGGTTCCTTACAGCAGAAGCAACAGGTAAAAAAAGAAGCAACACGATGAGGAAGGAAAGGAAAAACATTGTCTAATCTACTGCTCTCTATTGTGGTTGCTAGTAGGATCCGACACTGGACAACATGACAACAATCAACCAAAGTCGGTTCTGTATTGGATCGCATTGGAGTTCCATTGGCATCCGGCAGCCTGGTGGGAGTCCAATTCTCCAATTTGGCCACTGACTTGTTGACGAAGCAATTGGGATTCCCAAATTGGGGCCTCATGGAAATGGCCTCCCAATTACCGATTCTACGATTTCACGAAAGTTGTTGGGACTGGACCTAAAGCTTTCGACCTCTTCCACCCCGGCTGCTCAGTTCAGTGTTCGGGTAACAGCTCTGGGTTTGGGCGCTAGATAGCTCCAAGTAATCGCACGCTGTTCCCAAATCTTGCACTACTTCGACATGGAACAATGAGGCGCGCGTACCTGGTTTTACCTACCGGTAGATAGTCCTAATGAACTGCCCCTGCCATCTAGAGTGCGGATGGCTGAGGTGCTGGATGGGAGTCGAGGATGACTCGACTCCTTGACAATTCGAAGGAGGAACCTGTGATCTCGGACTCCTGATAAACCCACCCACACTTTTCCAAGATCTTCGCTAGCCTTGGGCGGCCAGCAAGCCAAAGCCTACACGTGTATTGGCTAGACGCTGGAAATGTAAAGAAAAGCCGCAAAAAGCATCCACCAGCTTCTGGCAAGACCAACACTCCTTGGTTCCTGGATGTGTTTACATGTACTGCAGGGCCGTCGTATGGCTGGCCAGTCAAATGGCAGGAAAGACTCGCGAGCAATCCGGTGATTCTGGTCGGGAACAATTAACAACCACGTCACATCAGCCATTTCGGAGGCCTCGCTGCTGGCTGTGACAGGTAACACATTTTTTCAATTCAATCCGTTGGTTTTGTACAAGTAGATGTGACTAATACTATAAGACTATTGACACGATTCCAACGACGACTATCTAGACTAGAGTGATCTGGGTATTAAGACCTGCAGTGCATTAAGACTCTGGTAATACTCTTCGGATTGTACAGTAATGCCTATAGTACAACTACAGTAAGAGCTAGCTAGCTAGTAGACTACTAGTACTAGTAGCTAGTAGACTGGTATCGTACAGTAGTACCGATACATGGAGGTTCTTCGATACCGGTAGAGGTGCTTTGGATTCGTAGAGGTGCTTCCCACGCGCTTCAATAGAGGTGCTTTGGGACCGTGGAGGTGCCGCAGAAAAGGAGTTGCGGTGTAGTAGCCTCAGTACTAGAGGCTACCTGTGACGTCAAGTAGGTTCCTACGTAGACTCAGTACTAGAGGCTACGTGTGACGTCATTCGGTCTTATAAAGCAGAGGAAAAGAATTCCCTGGGGATTGTGCGGAATCTTCAACTGCCCATAACTCCTTCAATATGTGTCACATGGAGTTGGGAATTTTTTGGCTTACTCAGCAACATGTGCTCTATCGATTCCACCCCTTAAAAGTACAATATTCGATATCCAGCTCTGAAGAGAATATTGCGCGAAACGGTCGGTCTTAAAGCCCAGATCACTCTAATGAAACACTTCGATTTATTGGTGATCACATTGTCTGTCACTTCAGACAATATGAGAATCACAAGACAGAACGCTTCTTCTGACTCTTTTAGGCATTCTGCCACGTCATTCTAAATCAGGAGTATTTCAGTCTTGGAAAACATTCAGAAAACAGCCGGCTTGGCTGTATTTACGTTGTGTGTCTCGCAGCAATCCATATCTTGACCCCAACAACCAAAGTCCACCACATTTCAAGGTTTGGGAGCCACTTCAAGAGTCTCCTGAATGTCTACCGTACTTGACGAGCTACCGGTGCCAGTGCTTGCAATTGGCTCCTGAGGATATCCCGATGTATCGTATCGGAGAGGTACCGTACGTGCGATACCGCAGAGGTGCAGGTGAGGCGGCGCTCCCCTAGAGGTTCAGAGCCCAGGGGCGTGTGATGAGCTTTCGCACCTGATACCTGGTACCCCTTCAAATTGGTAGTGTTGGCTGGTTGCCTAACCAGCTGATGATCGCAAGAACAAAGAAGGGTCGTAGTATTCTTGTTTGCATAATATATGGTTGTACGGTAGCCATGGGGAACGGGACCACGACCTCGAGCCTCAACCTGGAGAGGTACGGTAAGCATGTCTGTCTCTCATGCTACCGTAAAGGGCAAACGAGGGACGAAGCATGAAGGGCAAACGAGGGACGAAGCATGACCTACACCGTGTCGTCGCCACAATTTCCTCCCTCTAGCCCTCTGACCTGACTTTTCTGTTTCAATTGATCCGCAAGAAACAGGTACTATCTGGCTACTGGTACCAGGTACCGTACCATGTAGTACCGGTACGGTACGATGTGGCATATCTGCACAAGTATACCATTGGTTATTATTGTTTTTATTAGGTCTTTACTGGTACGGTAGGGTATCTATAAATCATGAATGAAAGAGGGATGAGGGTTGAAGTCTTTTTTGTGCGGTTTCCAAAACTCTTGCAGGAACAAGTAGATGATATAAGTCAAATCAAGTCAAGATAAGATCAGAGAATGGGTATAAGAGTTAATCCATGGACTTGGTTCGTCTCATAGACTTTTTTCGCCCTCGTTGTTCTTTGTGATTGATGGATTCTTTGAGCATACGATTTCGTTCTTTGCTTGGCGTTTGTTTCATGACGTTGCAAAAGGCTTCAATGTCTTCTAGGTGGTCTTGCATAGAGGATGACCCGCCAATGGAAGAGTTCATGGATCCATCGGCCATGCTACCTCTTCGACTGTTCGGGCCGCTACTAGTGCCCATGCTAGCACTGTCTCGAAAGACCGAAGGCATCTTGTTACTGATGCTACTGTGACGCAGATTGCGGATCTTGGCCGGCATTCGTGGACTTTCCAGAGCCGACTGGTCCATCGACTTGGTGCGACGAGGCCGTTGGCTCCTCTTACTGGTGGGAGTCCCAGGAGAGTCAGGGTCCGCTTCCACTGATAACAATTCCATAGATACCTCCACACTGGCACTCGCGGGATCAGAGAAAAAACCCATGGTCAATAAAAGATAAGATAATATAAGCTGGGCAAACAGAAGAAAAAGAGGAGATGAGATTTTATGCAATGTCAGGTGGCTGGTGGGGGCCCGAGGTCATTGAGAATTTCAAAAGACGTGACGGTGTTGGGAAGAAAACCAACTTGACCACGAAGTGACTGCCTGGGATACTGTATCACTGTATCTTCCAATTGCCAAGAAAGCTTCTTTCGGCTTCCAACAGCTCAATGACTTCAATCCAGAGTTTCATAATTCCTTTAGATAACACTTCTATCCACCTCATCTCCTTATTGATAAATCTCGAGCTGCTTGCGTCAGACATCGTGCCTTTGTCTTTATATCCTCACTTGACTGGTTACTGCGCTGATACTTGGTTGTTCAAAACCCGAAAAAGAAAGGGCAGTTGGAGCAGCAAAGAATGTTCCCTCCTCAAAGATGACTACTATAATACTATGGGGTGTCAGCTCACGAAATAGCATATGCGGAATAAGACACACACATAAGACGTCTGTACAATAACTAAATAAATCATTGCTCATAAGCAGCATCAATTATGGCTTTCCGAGTTGAAAAATCGTGACTACCTAGAGCTAACGTCCCTTAACCACTTCTGGCGCGCTAATTAAGGTCAACGCTCAGCTCGCCCCTGCCGACCCTCGGTGGCAAATTCGTTTGATTGGAATCGACTCAAATCGGCTCAAATCTGCGGAGATCCGCACTTCGATATAGCCATTCGATCAATCTAACAGCAACGATGGCTACTCTGTCAAATGTTGTCTTGGTGTTGCTGCCTGTGTTGTTTTACTTGTGGGCGGATTGCATCGATTCACTGCATTGATACCCTGGTTTTGACAATGCCGAACTTCTAATTCCAAAATGGAGTTCCTACCCATGAAAACCCAACAGAGCCGTTGTTGGATTTGAAAGTGCTTGAGCCAATGAGCTGAGTTGTGTCATTCAATGCCGAGTGCAATGCGAGGACCATGGAGCCTCTTGCTGATCGTGTGCCGACATTAAGGACTGCCGAAGCGGCTCCTATGGCACCAAGGAGGAGAGCCTCGTCCAGCCGAAAGACAAGAAGCGCTCTTGAATGGAGAAGCGACTTGATGGGAATTTACTCCACCCTTTTTCACAAGCGTTCCAATGGAATTGAAAAGACTCTCCGTGCACACTGCCAAGAGAATGAAAACATTGTCTTCCCTGCTCAGTACAAACGAATTGCAGCTATCTGGAATGAGCTAAAGCTTGAACAAGATCTCTCATCAGGAGTCAATCCATCCAACGAATCTTTTGTGTCAAAAATCAATGGTCGGTTTCCAGAAAAAGCAGCTACCCAAAACTCTTCCGTAGCAAATGCTGACTCTGACGACGAAGAGGCCACTAGCAATGTGACAACTTCTCGAGTGAGAACAAACAAGAACACAACGCGGACAGCTCAGCAGTGGAAAGACCTGCTTTTAGACCTTTTCTTTTTCCTTTCAAGTGCCAAAACAGGCAACCGGAAAGAATCAGTTCGATCTTATTGTGTGAAAATACTCCACTCGGAACAATCCTATCGTCGTGTTCATGAAATTTGGAAAGCACTGGGACTGGATAAAGATCTAGAGAGTGATGTATCCCCATCGGATGGTCTGATCAAAGCAAAGCTACAAGAAAGATTTGGAGCGGACGAACAGTCTGACAAAGAAAACAACAACAATGGACGGGACCTACGCCCCTCATCTAATTCATATTTCGATCGGTATGAAGAGGACTTGCTTCGAGAGTGTGTTGCTGGATTTGCCAGGGCTGGGTTTCCTCTGGAAAAATCGAACCTGAAGACTGTGGCCGACAACTTTCTCAAAGCGGATGGAATCGACACAAGCGGCAACGGTGGAATTAGCAATGACACCAACGAGCGAATCTACAAAGAAGGAAGCATGAAAGCAGTTTCGAATGTAAATCCGATTGATCCACAGAGAGCAGCACAGGCAGAGCCTCATGTCTTAAATGCGATGTATCATCAGCTCGACAATTGGATTGCCATCGCTCATGAGGTAAATCCTACAGCGTGGCCAGAAGACCGATATGCTAACATTCCACCAAGTAGGATCTACAATACTGATGAGCAGGGACCAAATCCAACAGCACTGCGCAACCCAGTTTTGATTCCAAAAGATATGCTTGACCAAAGGTCTCGGCTTTTCCAGAATACGAGAGAGGGAGATGGCAAGATGCAGTTCCATTACAGCGTGGCAAACATCGTCCGAGCCGATGGTGTGCAATGCCATCCCCATGAATCTGTAGAGGGTGCTCCGGCTCCGTACGTGTTGATATCTGATCCCTCCAGTGTCTGTGAGTTGGATAATATGGACAAGGCTAGTCGCGACAGGCTACTTGCGAACCAGACGGAAGATAACACAACATTCACTCTCAACCCATCAGTGCTTGAAGGATGGCACGATCAATATCAACTTGGAAAGAAAGACACATTGGTGAACAAATTTGGGTTTCAAATTCGAACAACACCGACTGGAAGTATGCTGAAGCGAACGTTCTACGACTTTATTCTTCACTTTGTCCAACAGCTTCCACATGACCAAGGTGCCAACGGGCTTGGAGTTGTTCTATTCCTTGACTGGCACTGTTCAAGAGAGTGCCCGCAGTCGCTGCTTACAACTTTTTTTGAGCACAACGTCCTCTTATTTGTGCTTCCGTCCAAAACAAGCATCTGGGCACAACCCTGTGACAATGGAAAGAATGAATTAACAGCAAAGCACATCGCAATCACTGCTCACAACATGGGTTTGATGATCGGTACACCTCTCGACTACATTGATGCCAACAAAATCTTCCGTGGGGGCCTTGAAATGAACTGTCTGGAGCAAAACGATGAGCTCCGGAGGACCGGAACGAATGCAGTTGTGTCTAGTTTCAAAAAGACAGGTCTCTATCCAATCGACTACGACAATGAAGGATGGCAATCGGCGTTCCAAAACTTTAGCAAACTGAATCAGCTAGTGAGGCAACAGAAGCAAGAAGCTGGAGAGATTTTGCCGCAGATTGTGTGGGTTTCGAAAGCAAAGACTTTGGACAGTCGTGAGCCATTATCAGCAGAAGACGAAGAAGCCATTAGGTCATTTTTGACAGCCGACGACTTTCTTGTTAGGGGCGGAGCAAACAGCGACGAGGACAGTGAGAATCAGCACCCTCTTTCAATGGAGAGGATGCCTCTCATTATCTTGGCAATGGCAATTGGTGATCAGATGATAGGAGAATATGCCCATGATGTGGATAGGGACGTTGCAGCTCCTCCGGTTGCAAACACGTTCGTTGAATCGGTAGCTCTTAAACTGATCGAATTTGTGGCAGTCACTCACGACAACAGAGTTGATACAACTTGCACGTTGAGCAGTGAAGCCATTGCACGCGACAAACTCAGAACCAAGCTTTCTTTGCTGCAATTCGGCCACGCGATTACACTGCGAAAGAAAGCTGAGACGGAAGTACCACTCAATCTGATGAAGCAAACACCGCAACGGTTCATCGTTTTGGATAATGAAAGAAGATCAAGTCGGAATATGATTCCAATGTCCGTCAATGAAATCCTTGACACGTGTTTTGATGCTAAAGATGACCAGCGGTACTCCTTGACGGTCAAAGATCGGGTCAAGTGTCGCAGAAAGGCTCGAGTCGCAAGGAAGAAGCTGAATGAATCGATGTACGGCGAAGCGAAGGAAGAAGCAAACAATCGTCGACTGAAGCGGAATGTCGACGTTTTCACGTCAAACCTTGCTCTAAAGAGACCGAGGTTTGCTAATCAGCTCAAAGCAATTCTCGAAGAGGAAGAAGGCTTTGACATGACGGAACTGTACCTTGAAATGGAGAAAGTTGTGCTAGAGCCATACTCGGATTCGATTGCTGTAACTCGAGGTGACACTTCGAAACAAATCGACGTTACGGTTGTGGGCACCGACGTGTCTGCTGTCAGTCACAAGATGGAAACTACACTCATGAAGACGATTGTTGAGCTTAAGAAGACTGGCGATAAATCAAAGCGACGCAAAAGGAGGAGGAAAGCTGGACAATCCACACACTTAGGCAAATCAGGTGTGGCTGTCGGCATTCTCATTCAACGACAACACAAAGAGGAAGAGCTCAAGATGACTGAAAAGCAAGAAAAGAGTATCTTGGATGAGCTAGATCGGTTGAAGTCGCTCTTGTCAAAGACAAATGAGTTGGTTGTGTCGATGCCGGGCAACTATTGGAAATACGACAAAGTAAAAGGGAAAAGAAGAGAGGTGTTGGCTCGGTTGTTTGGTGTCTATACTTCCAAAGCTAAAGCTGATGATCTATCATCTGCATTGAAGGCTTTGCATCTTTCGGAGAATTCTTTCCAGGCAAAGCTGAACGAGCTGAAGGTGTCGGTTGCTTCAAAGGAACGCAGCGTCGCTCCTATCATTGCAAAGAGGCGAGAGCAAGAAGATTTCATTGCAAGCACTGCTGATTACGCTGATGCTCCTGCTGAGCCAACAACAGCAACAATGGGGGCATTGGATGACGAGGACGATGATAGTGATATTGACGGCTAGATCTAGTTGTTATGATACGATAAATATTTAATAGTGTGGCAATGGTTAGGATATGACTGCTGCTTGCTTGGTATTGGATCACCAAAGCGATAACTTCCTCACTCAAGATCCTTGTCATCGTAATAGTACTGACTCGCGAAGCTGATTGCTGCAAAGAAGAGCTCTTGGGTTGCTCGGTTGCCTCCAATGATAGGAAGACGGAGGAGGATGGAATAAACCTCCGTGTCATTGCCCTCCACAGGGCATGTAATGCTCACCTCATAGGCAACATGGTTTCCATTGGCGCTCCGTCGTTCAACAGGCTGAGCAATTATCCACTTGTTTTGTGGCATTTCAACGTTGCAAGTGCAAGTTTTGTCCTCACCATTAACACGGACGGCTGCAATACGCAACAAAAAACGGGGTACAGTAGTAGCTGCACGATCCTGTTCGTCATCTTCTTTCCAGACAAGCAAATTAGCCTGGCCTTGGATGTGTACCTCTTGCCTTCCTTTTCCATGGGTAACTCGGACTGAAGCCCGCGCAGCGATCTCTGCCCTCTCTTCCGTCGTAGTCGCCATCAGTTGCCACGGCATTTTCTCCGGTTCGGTTTGTCAATTGTTGTCCACTCCAGATTGTGTGGTCAGTCAGAAGAACCAACCAGAGTATCCTTGAGCTTTTCCCGGTCGATTCAAGCCTTTCAACTCGGCCTTTCAAACCATTCAAACAAATTTCGAACTCTGCATCAAAGCCTGGAACGTTCCCCCGCCAAAAAAGGAGCTGCTCAGTTCGAGTGCTTGTTGCTTTGCTTCTGTCATTTTCTTCATTTTCTTCATCATGTCAGACAACAACAACGATCATTTCTTTCTCTCTGGGTGGATTGCAACCGCAGATGCCGCCAGGGTTCGTGCCGCTTTGGTGGAGTGTGGCTACACGCTCACACGTGTTGGCAATGTCTTGACTATTGGCATCCCCGCTACTAACAACGCCGAAGGTGGGCACAATGATGGCGGAAGCGACGGAGGAAGCGACGGCGGGAGCGACGGCGGGAGCGAGCATAGTGACGGATCAGAGACTGTTAGCGTTTTGGAACATGAAGAGGCGGAAGAGGTGGTGGAAGATGCGGCGGACGATGTGGGCGATCTTGAAGAAGTGACTCGCAGGTTCAGGCGTGGTGTCAGGGTCAATCGCCGTCCTCCTCCTCCTGCAAGCGACTCTGATGATGAACAGGATAACTACATCGCTTCCCAGGACTTTTTTTTCTAGACAAGAGGAGTGCATCCCTCCGGCAAACGGCGAATAAAGCGCCATTGTGCTCTCTTTACTGTGACAAGTTCGCTGTTTCGATCCGTTGCTGCCAGGTTAGGGTTGAAGATATCGTGACACGAAGATAAAAACATTCAATCTTGTATATCAACATTTCGAAGATAAAAGTATTAGCCATGAATAAAATATATAATCTTAAAGAGTGAAAATGCCTCGTTTTGTTTAACGCAGAGCTCCTGCGCAGACAAACGACATTTAAAAGAATGACTGAAAAGATTTAGGGGCAGTGTCTTATCCGGAGATAGCAGTGTGCTATTCCAATGCTGACTACTCATACTACTAGTAGTATCCCACCGACCACCGTTTCGCCGTGACGGTACCGTGGACACTGCCAGACATTGTTAGCTATGTACGAACTCTAGTAGGCTAGACTACCAGACTACTAGTCTACTAGTAGACTACTACATGTATGTATGTATGGATGTATGGTACGAATCGAATCCAACTTGAAAACAGCAGGGCAACAGCTAGCTACTAGCATAGCTAGTAGGGCAACACTGCAAACTGCAAACACCATTATTTCCAGTTCTACGACTTCTTGGTTCCGCAATAACTGGTATTACCGTCACGGCCAACAGGATCATACGGGGGAAAAGAACAATATACCATTAAAAATTTGAAGTTGTGTTGCTGGGTCAGTGAGGTATTGAAGGTTCTCGAGTTAATTAGAACTCGAGCACTCTGGAGTGCTATGTACCGGTATGGAGCACCAGCACTTTAGCAAGCAGCGGCAGCATCCAGCAGACATACTAGTAAAAGCTACCCGGTATTTATTTAGATCCTACTTTCTCTTTGGATGTCTATTATGCTGTCTGCTTTCTGATGAGTCTCTCAGTAGCTCACTCTTTAGTCTACCATTGAAGTTGAGCTGAGCTTCAAAAAAGGATTTCTGACTCAGGTACTCAGAAATTCTGAGTACCTGGCAGGAAACGGTTATTAGAGCATTAATTTTAGAGCCCTCATCATCACAAAGGACGACACTGGTATATGACATTGTAAGACAACACTGCCCGTGGGTGCCAGTAGCTTTTTGAGAGGTTGTCTGAGTAACCAGTAGCAATCTCAATTCTCGATTGCCTGGCAGATCTGGTTCAGCTCAATGTCAGAGGAGCACCTTCCTGACTACTACTAGTAGAAAGATCCATCTAGCTAGTGTGCGCAGGGGAAAGGAAAAGGTGTTTGCTCTGCTGCTTCTGGTATGATAGTACTATCATCTCCTCTCCTAGGGGTATCTGACTGGCTTGTAGCCACCATACCTGGTATCTTGCTTTTTGCTATGAAGAAGGCTGCCTAGATCCACAGGTGCTCATCTCAACGGGTTGGAGATACTAGCTACTACACATACAAGTAGTAGTACAGTTCCAGGAGCTGTTCGAGGTGTGTCGGAGTTGATGATCTTGGGCAGCACAACGGGCTTTGTAGGACACCTATCAGGTAGCCGTGGGAGGCGAACTGTGACCGAGTAGTATGGACGTCGGTTCCGTGACTCGTCATGGGATTCCCGGTTGTGCAGTCTCATCAGTTCCGTGACACGTTGTGGGATTGCTTATCTAACTAACTAAGCACGTGTCACGATGTTTCGGTTCCAGTGGGCGATGATGATGACGACGATGAGCCAAGCAAAGTCGAGAATCGCAATGCGGCGATGATTCTTTGAGCTGGGAGGCGAATCAAACAAATACACAATCCCACAAAGATAACAAAGTACACCTCCAGTACGTCAAAAGAGAATCATGAAGGTTGTTGCTTTTTCCTGGCCGATCAAGGCGCGAATGTTGGTGTCGGTCGCATCATGGTTGTTTTTAATGTTGTCGCACGGGGCGAGTCTTGTCCGCGGCGAGGTAATGATTACCGAAGTGGCGGCCAAAAGCAGTCGCTCGACGTGTCTGGGCCGCGATTGGGTCGAGATTCACAACCCCAATGCCACGGCCCCGGTGGATCTGTTTACCGGTGGCTACGTGCTGCACGACGACAAGGGCGTCACGAACGAACAGGCCTTTTTCTTTCCTCCTGGAACGGTGCTGCAACCCGGCGAGTACAGGATTTGGTGTACCAAATCAGAACCAAGGGAAGAATCTCCGCAATTTGGCATTGGGCGGCAAGATACAGTGACGCTGGCCGCCGTGTCTTCCGCTAGCAGCAGCGTGGAGGTTGGCACGGGCCGGGCGATGGGCTTGTACCAAGTGGTATCTTCGACGGGACCCTTGCCGTACATTACTGTGATGGACGGGTTTGATGTGAGTTACGCCTGGGACTCGACCACGGGTCGGTACGAATACACTTCGACCCCGACACCCGGAGCGGGGAACGTCTTGACGCCGGTGGGATCCACGGCCGAGCAAATTGCAGCGCTCAAGACTCAACTCACCGCCCAGAACGACCTGGGTGCTGTCTTTTTCAACATGGACGACCGTGGCCTGTCGGTACCCGACGGAATGGACACAGTGTTGGACTTGCGCCTGGTCATGGTCGAGGACGACTACAGCTACTTGTTACAGAATGCGTCCTACGAAGTGTATCGACCCTTCCAGTC